TCATTGGTAATTACTGTTGGAATTCAATTCCTATTTTTCCTGAGATGGGAAGCCAGATGTGGGGTAATGATCTAGCGCTGCCCTAAATTATCTGCCTATTAGAATCACAGTGAAAGTTAAGAGATTCCTCATCTATCAAGTCTCATTTAGTTGATTCTCATTCAAGGGCACCTCAAATATTTAGAAAGCTCTGCAGTCAATTCTAATGAACAGCCAGATAGAGTAATCAATTTAGAAATCAGCCACCTTAGATTTTGGTACCAAAATCAGATGGAAAACTAATATTCAACACAGCACTGGGAGCTAGAATTAGTAATCAACACTGAAAAGTGCACCAAGGAAAGCTAAAGGAAGTCCCAGAAAAGGTGGAACATTATATTTGAAATTTGAGAGTTCAAGTTTGCAAAAGAATAAAAGGAAGATTGTTGTGTATGCCCCAAAATGTAGACATTTCATTAAGTTTATACCTACTTTATAATATCTGGTCTTAGTGTAACTTTTCCAATTTTGATGGTCTGGAAAATACAAAGCAATCTCAAAGAAAGTTAGTTAAAAAACAAGTTAAAAATAACCATTGGGAAGAAAAAAATAAGGACTTATAATTTACAAATTTAGTAATTCCCATGTAACAGTTTAACTCAAAATGGAGGTGTCTATATTCTAGTAATGTTTTTTTGGCTGGCCAGCTGGTCTTGCAGACTAGTTAGCACCCTGAAAGAGGTTTATGAAAAATATTCAGGAAAACCTAAAGAGGTATCTAACCACACCTGCAAATAGAAAGATGTAGTTGACTAAATAGGTAAATTGGAGGCAGAAATGAAAAGTCAAGAGCTTTTGTCAAATGCCTGAACTTCTGTGAAGCTGGAAGTTCTCTCCTAATCCTAAATGGGGTCAGCTCCCTGAGATAATGGGTACTTTGTTGGGCAGAGGAGGACAAGTTAAATTAAATAAGGACCAAAATGTATTCACAGGGTACCTCAGAGAGGATTTGGAGGTAAGCACCAAAGAGAGAACAAGAATGCCTGAGAGTAAAAGAGAAGAGTACATGGGCAGTCAGGGTGATGCACATCTGCAGTTCCAGGTATCCAGGAGAGGCTGAGGCAGGAGGATCACTTGAGCCCAGGAGTTCCAGGACAGCCTGGAAAACAGTGAGACTATCCCATGGGGGTTTAGAGTACATGAGCAGAAAGAGATGGTAATTAAAACCCAAGTAACTTATATGACTATTAGCTGGCCCTGCTCCCTTCTGTGGAACTAGATATCAAAAGGTGATTTGTGGGAGATGAGAGAGAGAGACCATACTTTATCACTTTACTCTGGAAAAGTTGGTGAAAGCAATTTTTACAAACTGGACCCACAATCTCCAACTCAAAAAACAAATTTCTATTCTCTGAAATGCTAGATGTCTCCTCCAGCATGAATTCTGAACTTTGTTTCAACTGAGAAACTTCCTTTATTTTCTGATACCAGAGATGGAACCCAGGGTGCTTAACAATTGAGCCAGATCCCCAGTCCTTTTTATATTTTATTTAAAGACAGGGCCTCCCTAAGTTGCTAGTTCTGGCTTTGAATTTGCATTCCTCCTGCCTAAGCCTCCCAAGCCACTGGGATTATAGGCATGTACTACCACGCTTGGCAAGAAACTTCCTTTAAAATTAGCCACTTACCTTGAAATCTTGTGCAAATCTGGTTTTTATATCTTTAATACACTGTTTTACTAAAATTGCTCTCCTCAGTATATCAATGATTTTTTTGCTAAAACTAGTGTCCTTTTCTTAGCTACTTAATCTCTCTTGGCTCATTATTTCTTAAACTACCTTCTTTGCTTTATGTGACAGTACATGTTTTTCTTTGCTTCTATCTTTAATTTGGTAAGGATTTAAAGTTTTTTCCTAAATCAAAAGAACAATCATAAAAAATTGAAGAATACTTTCATACCCTCTCTTCACTTATGCATAATCACTGAATTAACAATATGGTATAGATCCTTTCTAAGCTTATGATTCTTTTAAAAAATTAAATGGGATTTCATATATATAATTTTTTTCAATTTTTAAAATATTTTTTAGTTGTCAATGGACCTTTGACTTTATTTGTGGTGTTGAGAGTCGAAACCAGTGCCTCATACATGCTAGGCAAGCACTCTACCACTAAGTTACAACCCCAGCCCTCACATACATATATTATTTTACATCTTTTTTCACTGTTATCTTACAATTCTTTCCATGCTGATTAATTCCTTTAGATTTGCATTTCTACCACTCTGAAATATTCTGTATTATAAATGTAGTAAAATTTATTCAGCCATTTTTTTACCAATGGATATTCAAGTTTTTTCCTAATTAATTATAATTACAATTATAATTGTAATGACTATCACAAGATATGTACATCAGCAAGTTATTTTGAAGACTTTTCAACCAGACAGTTGCTGATTCATAGCTAATGTATATTTAAATTTTGAGAGAGGGCTGGGGTTATGGCTTAGTGGCAGAGCACTTGCCTTGCACGTGTGAGGCACTGGGTTCGATCCTCTACACCACATAAAAATAAACAAAATAAAGACTTAAAAAATAAAATAAAATTTTGAGAGAGCTGGTTAGGGTTACGTTAGCTTCATAATTGGGAACACTCCTCCTTTCTTAATGTTTTGTTTCTAGTGACTTTTGTCAAAGATAGAACACTTTAGGATATTCATTTAAAAATTTTTTTTTGAGATAGGGTCTTGCCAAGCTGCTTAGGGTCTCACTAAGTTGTTGAGGCTGGCTTTGAACTTGTGATATCCCTGCTTTAGCCTCCCAAGTTTCTGGGATTATAAGTATGTGCCACCACATCTGGTTCATTCTTGCTTTTATTTTTAATTCCTCTTAAGTTTATTTTTGGGGATTTAACCTTATCTGTTTCTCTGCTACTTGTTTCTGCTTCCTGTTCTGACTTTTCTTGGTATGTGTGTACCCTTTAAAGATTTGTCATGTGCTGCCTCATTCCCTCCATGAGTTCTTTCACTCTATATAACATAGCAAAAAATAAAGCCTTTACCATTATTACAGAAGTGGCTACAAGCACTGTATTAATTTGGAGTCAGTTTTAGTAGGTTCCAACTCCTCAACTTTTAGTTATGCGATCTTGGCCAATCTGAATTGTTTCTTCATCTGTAAAAATAAAAATAACAGTAAAGATTAGGTTCAAAGTTATCTGCGAACCATTTAGCATAAAATTGCTCATATTTATAACTCAATAAATATGAAAGACTAATGGCCACAGTTCCCCATTTCTAAAATCAGATTGGAATGAAGACTAATCCCAAACTTCTTTTTTAATAATAAAAAACCTTATTTTCAAACTTTATCTGTTCATCCACCTGACAATCTTTCAAGCCACCCCACTCATCCACATAACAGCTTCCAACTAAGCCCTTTCCTTGAAGTAAATATTCCAGATGTTAAGAATGCCAAAATGGATAAGATATAGTCTCTACCTTCCAGAAGCTCAGAACCCCTGGAGGTTGGGGTGGAAGTGAGAACTGTTAAATGGGCAATTACAATACAAAGGTGATAAGTGACCTAATTGATATAGATTGTGGAAATTAAGACTCTGAGAATATGTGCTGCAAACCTGAAGGACCTAAATTGGACTCTTCATTCAGATATTTTTACTGTGTATCCTTAAGCAATAAACTTTTGTGCCTTTTTTTTTTTTGATCTGTAAAAAGGAATATCTATTTTGGAAGGCTGCAGTATAAATTACAGAAGAAAACTAAAATAAAGCACTCCATATAGTGGGGGTGGAGTGATTTATGAATTCAGTAAATGGCAGTTATTATTAATTACAAGATGCTATGTTCAAGAAAGGCAATTGTACCTCAAAAGAGAAGAGGTAGTGTCTGCAGAATTCCCCAAATGTGTCCTCTGGACAAAGCTGGAGGGTGGGATGATGGTTTGGGGATGGGGGAGGCAGGGTAGTTTTGGGTAGGAGGAACAGCACAGCACATATATGAAAAAGTGTTTCCAGGACCCCAGTTCATTATTCCTGAAGGGAGAAGATATGTGTGGCAAGGCATTAATAGTGGAAAAAACAGCTGAGAGGGGAAGCAAGATGGGCCATATCCCTGAAGGGCAGAAAACTCTTAGTATTTTCGGCTGCTGGCACAAAACCTGACCCATAAATTCACAAAAAATAGTGAATGGAAGCAATTGTGTTAATCAATGGAGTTGGAGAGAAAGATTTTAGTCAGATTGTTGAATAGGAACATGTTACAGTGAAAGAAATCTGGATTTGAGGTTAGAAGACCTGGAGCAGTCTTTTGACGAATGAATGACCTGTGTTTTACACCGGCTTTACAACTTACCTGCTGTCCGACGTTAGAAAATTACTGATATATTGAGTCTTGACCTGTAAAACGGGGATTAACACCTATCGAGATAATCACAGAGCCCGGCATTAGTAGGCACTCAATAACGCCAGCGGCTGTAGGTGCTAAATTCTCTCTTAGGTCTTTCTCAATATTTGTGAAATGACAGGATAAGAACAGATTTTCTTCCAATCAGCACTGAAAAAGTATATTAGGTTTGCCAAGGACGAAAAGGCCCCACCCGGCCCGCGCTACACAGGTCACCTACGCAGACTGCAGTCCTGGGGCCTCCATTTGGGTCGCTGAGCGATAGAGGGCGAGATGGATGACAAGCTGTTCTCAAGACGAACCTCAGGCTTCGATAGGTTCTTCAAGACGGATCAAAAATCTCACCGAATACTGATCCACACCTCCTTCCCTCCGCTCCAGAAGCAAAGCCTTGAAAAAGGTGAAAGGAAGGAAGTAGGAAGTGACGTATCAATAAGCAAACGGAAATTACCGCACCACGCCGGAAGTTTACTCGTTTCCAAGGCAACGGCTCCGCCACCACTCCCTCCAGGTGGCCGGAGTCGGGACGCTGGAAAGCGACTCAGAGGAAAGGGCTTGCGCCGACGGCGGCCGCCGCCACAGCGACTCGCGGGGAGTAGTAAATGAAGACGGCGGCCGCCGTACCAGCCATCATGCGTGGAAGGTAAACGGCCGACACGGTTCTCACGGCGCCCATTCCAGGGGAAGAGTTGCCGAAGCCCAGGGACTTTGTCTCACCGACAACCGGGAGAGAAAACGTGAAGAAGGCGACAATCGCCTCAAGGTCTCCTTGGGAAGAGTGGGTGAAGACGTCGGCTTCTCCCGCAGGGACTCGCGGAGAGTCGTTGGAGACATAGGCCACCACCGCTGTGCCTTTCGGGAGAGAGTCAAGGGAGATGGTGGTCACCGTCACAGCAGCTCTTGGGTGAAAGTGAGGGGAGACCGCAGCTTCCCCAGCAGCGACTTGAGTTCAAGTGACGTCGGCGACCCGCACTCGAGCGACTCTGGTGCTACAGTCAGAGACCACAACCGCCGACTCAGTGGCTCTTGGGAGAGAGGGAGTGTGGATGGTAGCCACTACCCCAGTAGTTCTTGGGACGGAGTAAGTGAGGACCGCGGCTATGTGGCCAGCGACTCCTCGGGGGTGAGCGTTAGCGAAAACGCCGGTCGCCGTCTCCGTGGCTTCCGGGAGAGAGAAAGTGAAGACGAAGGTTCCCGAGGTAGGGTTTCTTGGGAGAGAGCAAGCAGGGAGGACTCTGGCTACCGTCCCAGCGACGACGACGAAGACGGCTGCAGCCGCTATAGTGGCTCCTGGGTGAGAGCAAGTGAAGACCGCCGCAGCAGCAGGGGCCTGGATTCCACTCCTCCCGGGAGTCTGAGGGATTGCACCATGCCTGGGGTGGCCAATTCGGGCCCTTCCTCTTCCTTTAAGGAGACTGCAAACACGTGTGAGTCAGACTATTTTGTTGGCTCTTGACTTTGCCACACTTCTTTTCACACATCAGCCCACAGCAGCCCTAGCCTCTGCTGGCATTTTCCGTTTAGAGTAGTCACGCCTTCTTTCCCCTTCTTTATTTTCATTGATTCCCCAGACTATTCACCCATCCGTCATCCTCCCTCATTTCCCCCTTTGTTTTGATCCGCATCCTTTGAAACTTCTTGCTCAAATTGACATCAACTCTGGTTTAATCTTTTGGATCCTTTTAAGTTATTACCTGACTTCTCTGCAGTATTTGATCCTGTGGAGATAATAATTTAGGCTCACCTAGTTTTTTTTTCTTTTCACTCTATTGGGTCTTCTCCTTTGCTGACTTACTTTGCTCTATTCTTAAGTGTTGTTTTTTTCCCTTGATGGTGCCATCTAAAAGTGGTCCCTTTTTTTTTTTCCTGTCATGTACTGTGGCTTCTGTTCTGTGTTATTCATTCAAATCTTCATAAATATTTAGTGTCTACCGTGGGCAGTGTTGCAAGGAAATAGCATTAAAGAAGGCAGGCACATAATCTGTCTTATACTGATTAATGTGATTAAGTATTGGAAAGGAACATAAAGTTCCATTGGTTTCATTATGGGGTGAGAAGAGGGTCAGAAAAAGCTTTCTACAGGCCTAACACTGAGGCCTGAATTCCACATCTCTCCTCTGAACTGCAAACTTAAGTATGCATCTCTTTTTTGGAAAACTTCCTTGGGCACCTCAAGGTTATGATACCCCAAATGTAATTTTTTTTGGTGGGGGTGCTGGGGATTGAACCCAGGACCTTGTGCAGCAAGGCAAGCACTCTACCAACTGAGCTATATTTCCAGCCCAAAATGCAATTTTGTATTCATACACTCTTATATCCCTTAATGTTTTCTATCGCAATGGCAAGATTGCATTCAAGTGACTAAGATACCTTGGATTTATTCCACTACTCTTTCCTTATTTCACCCACTATACTCATCCAAGTTCAGGTCATCCTTTTTCCATTACTATCTGTTGAATTTGTTTTCATTTGTTTCACTGCTACTGTCTTAGTTGAGGGTCTCAATTATTCTGGTCTAAAGTGGTATTTATGTTCTTACATAGTCTCCCTGACTCGCTAATCTTGCCGTTTTGCTCCCTAGTCAATAATTTTCTCACTACCAGCTATATAAACTCAGTGTTAAAAATCTGATCATTTAATTCCTTTTTTTTTTAAAAAGATAGTACACTCTGTCTTTATATTTTAACTTTCTATTTCATTACCATCATACTTCTATCTCATTCTCCCACTTATTCTTCAATGTAGATTTTTTTTTTTTTTGGTAGTTAGGGAAATTGGAACAGTGTCTGTTTGTTTAGTGTGAATGTTTTAGTTCAACTTTGCTGTAGCTTGAATCTGGAAATAGATCATCCTGGTTTCAATTTATCTTCTCTTTGACAATTGGGAATCCTACTTGAAATCTCTGCCTTCAATTTCCTTAGGTATAAAATAGTATCAGACTTAGCTTGCAGGGCTCAGATAACAGGCATAAAATGTCTGGTACAGTGTGGGTGATTAATGGGTATTTTTAGAAAAAAGTTAGCAGAAAATGATATCTCATTACATCATTATGCTGGATTTTTGTATAATTTGCCAACAATGCTGACCCATAGTGGATGAAATGAGTGCAATTTAATAGAAATGTAACTGAATTGTACCTGAGGTACTTTGGATTTTGTTAATACCATACACTAATTATACAAATTAATGGGATTCATGGTGATATTTCCATACGTGCACATATCACATGTTCATAGTGCCCATCCACTCTCCTTTCAATCCCCCCACTCCCTGCCTGTGGCACCTTTCTCATTATATTTTTCTACTTTCAAATAACTTTTTTTTTTCTTTAAGTTCCTCGTATGAAATACTTTCTGTGTCTGGCTTATTTCACCTAACATGATATCCTTCAGTTCCACCCATTTTGCTGCAATGATAGGATTTTATTCTTTTTTTTTTTTAGCACTTTTTTTTTTTTTACCCCTGCCTCAGACTTCTGAGTGCCCAGCTCATTATTCTTCATTACCGAACAATACTCCATTGTGTATGTATACTGTATTTTCTTTATCCATTCATCTATGGATCGGTACCTAGGCTGATTCCATAGCTTGGTTATTGTGAATAGTGCATCAGTAAACATGGGTATGTTGGTATCTCTCTCTTTTTAAATATCTATCTTCTTTTTTATACCTTTATTTTATTTTTATGTGGTACTAAGAATTGAACCCAGTCCTTATAAGTGCTAGGTGACTGCTCTACCACTGATCCACAACCCTAGTCCTGTGTAGGTATCTCTTTTTGTTATGATGACTTCAGGTATATACCCAGGAATGGTAAAGCTGGATTATACGATAGTTTCATTTTTAATTTTTTGAGGAATCTCCATATTGTTTTGTATAGTGACTGTGCTAATTAATTTTCCTACCAATAGTTTATAAGCATTCCTTTTTTTCTACATTCTTGCCAGTGTTTTTTGTTTGTTTTGATTTTTGCTTATTTGTTTTGGTAATATTCATTCTAACTGGGGTAAGATGGACCCCATTATAATCTGGATTTGCAATTCCTTAATGGCTAATGATATTGATATTTTTTTCATGTTTATTGGCCATTTGTACTTCTTTTTTGAGAAATGTCTATTCAGCTCATTTGCTCATTTAAAAATTATATTACTTGTTTTTTATTGTTAAGTTTTTTTGAGTTCTTATATATTCTGGAATTATTCATCTTATGTCAGATGAATAGCTGGCAAATATTTTCTTTCTTTACTATGTTGATTGTTTCCTTTGCTGTGTCAATACTTTTTAGATTGATGTTATCCCATTTGTCATATTTTGCTTTTGTTGCCTGTGCTTTTGGAGTCCTGTCCAGAAACTCATTTCCTGTACCATTGTTAAGTACCAGTATCTTGAAGTATTTCTCCTATGTTTTTCTCTGGTAGTTTTAGAATTTCAGGGCTTTCCTTAAGGTTTTTGATTTATTTTGGGGTTGATTTTTGTACAGGGCAAGAGGAGTTAAGTTTCAATCTTTTGCATGCAGATATCAAGTTTTCCCAACACTTTTTGTTAAAACATTGGGCTCTCTGTTCTGTTCCATTGGTTTATATGTCTATTTTTATGCTGTTATACTGCTGATTTGATTACTGTGGCTCTGTAGTGTGTCTTGAAATCAGGTTGTTTTGGCCACTTGGGATCTTTTGTACTTCCAAATGAATTTTAGGATTGTGTTTCCTAGTTCTGTAAAGAATGCCATTAGTATTTTGAAAGGGATTGCATTGAATCTTTAAATCTCTTTGGAGAGTATGAACATTTTTTTAAAATATATTTTTTGAGTTGTAGGTGGCCACAACACCTTTATTTTGTTTATTTATTTCTGTATGGTGCTGAGGAGGGAACCCAGTGCCCCACATGTTCGAGGGAAGTGCTCTACCACTGAGCCACAACCCCAGCTGACAGTATAATTAATTAATGTTATTAATTCTTTAAATCAATGAACATGGAGGTCTTTCCATCTTTTAATGTCTTCTTTAATTTCTTTTATTAGTGCTTGGAATTTTCATTGAATTTCATTGAAACTTCTTAGTTAAATTTATCCCTAAGTTTTTTAAAATTGTTTTTGTGGCTATTGCAAATGGGGTTACTTTTATGGTTTGTCAGCAAATTCATAATTGATAGAGAAAAAACTACCCATTTCTGATTTTTGATTTTGTATTCTGCTATTTTATTGAATTCATTTGTCAGTTTCTAATAGTCTTTTGGTGGAGTCTTTAGGTTTTTCTGTTTAGAATCATATCATCTGCAAATTTGACTTCCTCCTTTCCTATTTGTACACCTTTTATTTTTCTTGCCCAGTTGCTACAGCTAAAACTTCTGGTACTTTAGAGCAGTGAGAATGGACACCCTTGTCTTGTTCTTGATTGTTTTTTTTATGGTGCTTGTTATTGAATCCAGGGGGCACCCTACCACTGAAGCCACATTCCCAGCCCTTTTTTTTTATTTTGGGATAGTGTCTTTAAAAGTTGCTGAGGTTGGCTTTGAACTTGTACTTCTCCTCCTTGAGCCTCTTGAATAACTGGTTTTACAGGTGTGCACCAATGTGTCCACTGTAGTTCATAATCTCAGAGGAAATGATTTCCATTTTTCCCTATTCAGTATGATGTTGGCTATGAGTTTGTCATATATAGCCTTTATTATGTTGAGGTATGATCCTTCTGTATCTAATTTTTTCAGGAATTTTATCATAAAGGAATGTTGAATTTTATCAAATACTTTTTTCTGACTCTTGAGATGATAATATGAATTATTTTTTTTAATTAGGAAAAAAATTTTTCTTTTGTAGGGTATTATTACTATGTCACCTTAGCTAATCTTGAACTCCTGGGCTCAAGTGATCCTTCTGTCAGCTTCCCAGATAGCTGGGAGTACAGGTATATATACCCAGCTGATTTTTATTACTTTTATCCTTCATCTTATTTGTATTACATTTGTTGATCTGCATATGTTGAGTTTATTTATTTATTTATTTTTGCTATACTGCTATGCTATATCCCCAGACCTTGATTTGTTTATGTTGAATCATACTTGCATCCCTGAAATGAAACTGATGTGATATGATATATGATCTTTTTGATGTGCTATTAAATTTGATTTGCTAGTATTTTGTTGAGGACTTATGCATTTATGTTTATCAGAGATATTGGTCTCTTTTTTTGTTGTGTTTTTGTCAGGTTTTAGAAACAGGGTTATGCTAGCCTTATAGAATGAGTGTGGAAAGATTCCTTTCTTTTCAAATATATGGAATGGTTTGAGAAGGATTGGTGTTAGTTCTTTAAAAGTTTGGTAAAATTTAGCAGTGAAGCCATCTGGTCCTGGGCTTTCCTTTGTTGGGAGACTTTTTTTTAGTAATTCAATCTTATTCTTTGTTAATTGGTCTAGTCATGATTTTTATATTTTCTTGGTTCAGTTTACTAGTTCATGTGTGTCCAGTGACTTGTCCATTTCTTTTAGATTTACCAATTTGTCAGCATAGAGTTTTAAAAAATTATCCCTAGTGATCCTTTGCATTTCTATGGTAGCAATTGTAATGTCTCCTTTTTCAGATCTAATTTTATTTATTTAGCTCTTTTTTTTTCTCTCTCTTTTGTGTAATCTAGCTAAAAGGTTTGTGGATTTTATCTTTTCAAGAAACAACTCCTTGTTTCCTTGATCCTTTGTATTGTTATTTTAGACTCCTTTTCCTTTATTTATTTATTATTTCTTCCCTTCTACTAATTTGGGGTTTGGTTTGTTCTTGTTTTTCTAAGACAATGAGATGTACCATTAGGTTGTTTATTTGAAATGTTCCTATTTTTTTGATGTAGGCACTTGATGCCATAAACTTTCAGTATTGCTTTTTCTGTATTCCACAGATTTGGGTGTTTTATTTCATTTTCATTTGTTTCAAGGAATTTTTAAAATTTCCTTCTGACTTTCTCAATGAAAGTCAAGAGCATGTTATTCAGTCTTTATGTATTTATAGAATTTGTAAAGTTTCTCTTGCTATTGAGTTTCAGTTTCATTTCATTGTGATCAGGTATAGGACATGATTTCAATTTTTTTTGGATTTTAAAAACTTGTTTCATGACCTAATATATGATCATTATAATTCTTCTGTTTAAAATTCCCCAGTGAGTCAGGCATGGTGGCGCATGCCTGTAATCCCAGCATCTTGGGAGGCTAAGGCAAGAGCATTGCAAGTTCAAAGCCAGTTCCAGCAACTTAGTGAGGCCCTAAGAAACTTAGCGAGACCCTGTCTCAAAATAAAAAATAAAAAAAGACCTGGGGATGTGGTGAAGCTCCTCTGGGTTCATACTCATGTATTAATCAATCAATCAATCAATCAATCAGTTAATCCTCAATGATTCTCCACTGTATGCTCAAGGGGAAGGTTTTTTTTTTTTTGTTATTTGTATTTTCACAACTTCTACCATAGTCTATCTCTTGTCTTGTTCAAGCCTCTTCTACTTTATGCTTCAGCAATAGGACTTTTTTTTTCTTATTTTAAAAATTTAAACCATATCTTAATGTTCATTTTGTCTAGGATGCCTTTCACAGCTCCCAACCTTACTTGATAAACTCCACTGCTCCCACCTTACTTGGTAAACTCCTGATAATTCTTGAAGTTTCGTCTAAGATTTTACCTTCTCTGGGAATCGTTTTCTATTCCCCTGCCCTCCTGTTCTAGCTGAGTTGGAAGTTATCTGTGGTTACATACGTTCCTGTACATATTTTGGTCATTGCTCTTACCATGTTATGTTTTTTTTGGCTCCGGGGATTGAACTCAGAGGTACTTGACCACTGAGCCACACCCCAGCCCTATTTTATATTTATCTAGAGACAGGGTCTCACTGAGTTGCTTAGCACTTTGCCATTGCTGAGGCTGGCTTTGAACCCTCGATTCTCTTGTCTCAGCCTCCCAAACTGCTGGGATTACTTACAGGTGTGTACTATCATGCCCGGCCCTATCATGTTATTTTCTAAATTGTTTATTTCTTCTCTACTAATCTGAGAATTTATGTCTTCATCTTTTATTTTATGGTTACACTAATTCTAAGTGAATGGTGTATGAATTAATGAGTTAATTTGGAAAGGAATGTGGTGTTAAAAATTCCATAAAATCATATGGGTCCAAATTATGGAAGAGCACAGATCATCATTCAGAGATTTTGGACTTTGTTCTATAGACTAGCAGTAGCCAATGAGTAGCAGTTTGGAATCGGGGCTTGGTGATCAGGATAGTATCCTTGTACAAAATGGGAGTAGAGTGGGTAGAACACCATTTGTTGGTCTTGTTGTATTGGTTTAAAGAAAATGTATTTAATCCATGTCTATTTTCCATCATGTTTTTGTAATGCTTGGTACAAGATAGATATTCAGAAGGATTTTGAGTACATTTATACTGTTTTGCCAAGAGTTAGTATAAGATGTGATTCTAGTACAAGATAAGATTCTAGCCTTACCAAATTAACATTCTACTGGATATGGTGGCATGTGTCTGTAGTACCAGCCACTTGAGAGACTGAGATAGGAGGATTGATGAATCAGCTTGTACAACCATATCTTAATGGTTGACCCTATCAAATGAGACCCTATCAAAAGTAATTAGAAGAAATTAATATTCTGATTATAAATATGTCAATACAAGTTAGTTTAGTTGTTTTCAGAGTAACTTTTCAATAATTTTTTTGGGTTAGTTTTGCTTAGGGAATGCTTGCATTGAACTGTGTACTCCTTCTTGCTCCTTCAGTAACTGTCTCTTCATACTTAGATAATTTTTATTGCCTCTGGTTCACAATGCACATTAAATATTTCGCAGAACAGTAAGCCTGACAATGCACTCTTGATGTTTAATAGGTTGAATTATAGAATATAAACCACTAGAGTGTATGCACTAAAAATTGTGACCAGCCATTTCTTTCTTATTATAAGACAAATAAATTATAAAGAAAAACATATTGATAAAATATATCCATATGTGAGATAAGGCTCTGGTAAACTTTTCTTCACTGGAAAGTAGGTCTTTTCCCCCCCTTACAGTATCGGGGATTGGACCAGGACCTTACCTATACTAGGCAAGTGCTCTACTTCTGAGCTACATTCCAAGCCCAGGGAGTCTATTTTTTGTTTTAAAGAAAACACTGAGCATATTTCAAAATGGTCATGTTCCCTTCCCCCATATCAAAGATGTGAGGAGATTGTTCTTCGCTTCTCGTAGTAGTATCCTCATGTTGCTTCTGAAGGTAAAATATATGAAAGTGTAGGGGTTTCCTAAGTCTTCCTAAGTCCCTGCAAGTTTCCCACTTTTAGGATAGTCATATTCAGCCTGGGCAAGTCATCAGAATTACTGTTCAAGTCTTCTGCCAGTTTATGTCTCCAGCACCTTATGATCCAAGTAAGTTGAACTCGACTATATTTCTCTGTATTTAACTTTCTCCCCAGATTTATAATAGCAGTTTTCCCTGAGGCCTCAGCTCTCTTATGGACACAAGGAAAGTTGTTTATTTTCAGTGTATTCAGTTTTTTTCCTATAAGAATATGAGTGTCAACCTTCATGCTCTTTTCGTGTCAGAGCTAAAGCCAGAAGTCTAATGAAAATGTTAATAATAAACATCTTTTTTTTTTTTTTTTTTTTTTTAAAGAGAGAGTGAGAGAGGAGAGAGAGAGAGAGAGAGAGAGAGAGAGAGAGAGAGAGAGAGAGAGAATTTTTTTTTTTAATATTTATTTCTTAGTTCTCGGAGGACAAAACATCTTTTTTTTATTTTTTATTTTTTTTTATTGTTGGTCGTTCAAAACATTACATAGTTCCTCATACATCATATTTCACAGTTTGATTCAAATGAGTTATGAACTCCCAATTTTATCCCGTATACAGATTGCTGCATCACATCAGTTACCCTTCTTTTGTTGGTATGTGGTGCTGAGGATCGAACCCGGGCCGCACGCATGCCAGGCAAGCGCGCTACCGCTTGAGCCACATCCCCAGCCCCTAATAATAAACATCTTTGCAGTAAATTTTTACAAAGCTGAAATGATTCATAGTTCTGTAATAAGTCTCAACCAATTTGATTTTTTAATAGGTGCCAGGAAGAAGGTACATTTTGGTAGCATTCATGATGCAGTACGAGCTGGAGACGTAAAGCAGCTTTCAGAAATAGTGGAACGTGGAGCCAACATTAATGAAGTTGATGTTCTCCATAAATTTACCCCTTTGCATTGGGCAGCACATTCTGGAAGCTTGGAGGTAAGAAGCTATGCATATTATAAGGTAAGTTTACACCTATAGCAGTTTTGTAAATTTAGCAGACCAGGATGAGACCTTATGCTAGGCACTGCAAATAGTTTTCCTTTCAATTCAGTCTAACATTTGGATATTCTACTGTACTAGGACTTTATAACAAATTATCTCAAAACTTAGGGTCATAAAAATAACTGTTCATACTCATCAGTGAACCAAGAATATGGATTCCAGGGGCAGTTTCTCTCTTTTGTATTACATCTGTGACTTTAGCTGAAAGATTTATGTATGGGGCTAGACTTTTTTGAAGGCTTGTTCACTCAGATGCTGGTGGTTATTCTGGCTTAAATGGGGCACTTTAATGTGGGTCTTTCTGTGAGATCTTGCCACTTGGGCTAGTTTGGGCTTTGGATTCCAAAGGTAAGCATAGAGCATAACTTATAGAAGATAACATCATGAATATCCATCATAACATTTTTTCATGTAATTAATTCAGATTTTTAGAAAAGAGGTAGAATATTGTGGATATATTTAAAGTCCCTGAGCACTCTTCTCAGTTGTCATCCCTTCCAATTCCAGAGATAAATGTTATATACAGATTTTGGTGTTTATTAGTTCTTTAAATAAATGACATCATGTTATGTGTATAATTATTTAGTTTATTTTGTTTGTTCAAAAATGTTTTTGAATTTTAACCATGTAGTTATATACATGTATTCTCCTTCATTTCATCAGAATTTATTCATACTTCTATTGATAGATATTTAGTTGGTTTCATTTCTAGCTTGTACAAACAATGCTTAGTGAACATTTTTATGTAAATCTTTTTATTCTTTTTTTTTTAGAGAGAGAGAGAGAGAATTTTTTTTTTAATATTTATTTTTAAGTTTTTGGTGGACACAACATCTTTATTTTTAAAACAATTTTTTTTATGTGGTGCTGAGGATCGAACCCAGCACCCCGTGCATGCCAGGCAAGCGCCCTACTGCTTGAGCCACATCCCCAGCCCTTTTTTTAATTAAACTGTGTACAAGGCCAACGAGAATTTTTATTATGATTCAATGTTGTATGTGTGTGTGGGGGGGTGGGTGGGTGGGCAGTATTTAAGCAACTACATTTTCTCAGCCTGTAGGCCACAATAGGTCTATTCCACATTGCTGTTTTTCTTTTTGATCCCTGACATAACGCGCACATAGACTGCTTTCATAACTATCGCTATTATTTGTAGTTTCTTCTTTGTTAGGACTTATCTACTTCATGTAATCAAATCGGGTTCAGAGACTCTGTATCAGTTTGTATGTCTCAGTTGAAGTAAACACTTTGGCCTGTTGGTGGATTCCTCTCACATCCGAGAAGTATGTCTCTCATGTGACGTGTGACCCTGGGTGGGTGTTCTCCTCGTTGTAGCCTCCCATATCCCTGTTTGATCTGTACTGTTGGCACCATTTTCATCATTTGTGGTTTCGGTTATAGATTTCTCCTAATTTCATCAAAACTGGAGTTATCAAAATGCTAAAAACATCTTCCTTATCACTTGTTAACATAATTGTTTTCCTAATTAGTGTCTTCATTGGCTGCTGTGGCATGGAGCTGATATCACACAAGTAACCACAAGAGGCTGGACAGCAGCTCACATAGCTGCAATTAGAGGTCAAGATGCTTGTATGCAGGTATTAATATTCTGGTTACTTTTTAAAAATTCAGTGAGTTTAATTACTTTAGCATAGTTCTGTTGGGCTATTGCTATTATTCTAAATATTTTATCTAATAAACATAGTTATATATTCTAAACAAAAACAGTGGATTCCACAACTCAGATATTTTGATACCAACTATTCACTTAAACAAATGATATGTGACTAGAGATCCTTTTTTTCTCTAAAATATTTGGCTGCTTGGGTTGTTTCAAGTGATGTTATAGTTGTGCCAAGATTATCTCCTTAAGTTTGCTGCTGTAGTATGAATGTGCCCGCCCCCCAAATAAATATGTTGAAATCTTAACCCTCAAGGTCATGGTATTAGGAAGTGGAACCTTTGGGAGGTTATTAGATTATGAAGGATCTGGCCTCATAAATGGGGTTAGTACTCTTATAGAAGATACCCCAAAGAGCTAGGTAAAAATAAAAGTTGCTGTTTATGTGGAAAAGTCCCTAACCAGACACACAATCTGCTAACATCTTAATCTGGGTCTTCCTAGCACTCAGAACTGTGTACAGTAAATTCTGTTGTTTATAAATTACCCAGTTTAAAGTATTTTCTTATAGTAGCCTGAACAGACTGAAATACTTGCCATGCTTGAATCTTTACTAATGTATTTCATGGCTAGAGTAACTCCTTAATATGTGGTAGAATCTAGTTTATTAGAGAAACTAGATTTGATTAATGTACTAAAATAGACTGGTATTTTATAGAGTCATATAAAAATATTTCCTTCCTGTAAGACTACTGAGATTATCTTTGAAGTGACAAGAGTTCTACTCATTAAATTACAAAACAAAGTCTGTGATTAAAGTTCTGATGAAAAGTATAGAAGAATTGTATGATTTAGGAGACGGTAGAGGAATTATAAACTGAAGAAATAAAATGTCAGCTAAGCCAAAAAGAATAGGTTGATCTTAGGATGGGGCATGTAGCTTAGTGGCAGTGTGATTGCCAAGCAAGTGCAAGCCCGTTGATTCAATTAAAAAAAAAAAAAGGTTGATTTTAAAGAGGTGAATAGTAACAAAGCGTTGTAGGCAGGGACTCTATTAGAAGCAAGTGAAAAATGATTATTTATTGAAGATTAATGTTAACTCCGAATGCATCATTCCAATTAACAAAACTATTCTATGAGTTTCCTTTTTTATAGACAATGATTAATAGTCTATAATTAACAGATTCAGTGTTAAGTATGTTACCTAAGCAAGAGGCAGAGCTGTGATTTGAACTTAGATTTTTCCTGTTAACCCCTATATTGTATCTCTAGTGTGAGAGTCTGAATTGGACAATTGAGATGTATTCTGTGAGTTGACTGAGTATGGGTGGTTTGTGAGGTGAACTGTTATGAACACACACCATTATCTATACACATTGATGTATATATGCATATGCATACACACACACATATCTATGTGTGTGTGTGTATATATATGTATATTTATACATATACACACAAATATATTTAGTATTTGGGCATTAATAGGAGAATAAGGTAATAAATCAGCATTTAGAAAATTAGCAAAATATGTCTGGTTTTACCAGGGATGAAGAATTCAAACGCAAGAAACTACACACACACACACACACACACACACACACACACACACTCTTAGCCTCCTAAACCCCTGGGATTATGGGTGTATGCCACAATGCCCAGCTTTAAATATGTATTTGTTTGTGGTTCTGGGGATTGAACTCAGAGGCACTCGACCACTGAGCCACATCCCCAGCCCTATTTTGTATTTTATTTAGAGACAGGGTTTCACTGAGTTGCTTAGTGCCTTGCTTCTGCTGAGACTGGCTTTGAGCTCGTGATCCTCTTGTCTCAGCCTTCCGAGCTTCTGGGATTACAGGTGTGCACCACTGCACCTGGCTTAAGTATTTTTGCTCTAGTTACTAACTAAAGAGAATGAAATTAGGTGGTGGTGGAGGGAAAAAAAAAAAAGAAAATAAGTCAGACATCTTGCAAAGCAGGCATCAACAGAGTATAGTGAGGATTTAAGTTTTAAGTCCAAATGACAGGTAATTGTGACACAGTGATTAGGGAAATCTGAAAGGCAGATAAATGTTGAGTTCAATTTGATCACATGTTGATTTTAAGGTGTCTATAGATTGTTTACATAGGTAGAGAATGTCTAGGCAATTAGGGTGCTGAAGAGAAGACTTCAGGAATAATAGAGAAGAGTTTAGAGTGTTAAGGAATGTTGAGTGTTGACAAATGTTACTGTGTAGGCATGGGAGAAAAGAGACATGAATAAAGACCTCAGAGATTAAAGATCATAAAGATAGGAAAGCCAGGATGAATTAGGGCTGTGGAAGTGAAGGAAGAAGTTTATTTTAAAGTTAGGCAGAATGTCGGGCTGGGGTTATGGCTCAGTGGTAGACCACTTGCCTCACATATGTGAGGCACTGGGTTTGATTCTCAGCACATATAAATAAATGAATAAAATAAAAGTCCATCAACAACTAAAAAATATTTTTTTTAAAAGAAATTAAGCAGAATATCAGTTACAGGAGAAAGCTAGGGTGTAAAGTTAAAGAAATGCCATTGAACTCATTATAGGGGGGAAGTTGGTTATATTTCTATGCAAGAGTAGGAATGACACCCTGTTTGGAGAGGGATTTGAAGTTGAGACATTGAGGTATTAATTTGATAAATGGGCAGTGAAAGAAAAAACTCAAAATAACTTCTGAGACATTAGGATCAAAGGATATTTTCCTTTCTCCAAGCATTAGATCAAGTCACTCCTTATGCCTTGATTATCCTTCTCTTCCTCAAAATGATCAATTCTTTCTCAGAGCCTTTGTGGTGCTTTGTGATACTACATCATGTAGTTGTTCTTATCAAGGAGTGGTTTTTTGTATAGTTGATTATCTTTGTTTCTACATATGTCCTAACTCCCTAAGTTGATAAGTCTTCATATTCTTCATGAATGCTAAAATACAGTAAGCACTCACTATATCATTTATTATTATTGACTATTAATGGGAATCAGACAAAATCAATGAAATTATTTTTTTCTAAAACCCTTGATAGGAATTATGATTGAGTAATCCTTTGCTGAGATACTGGTAAATGTGGACTGGTTTAAAAGAATAAAAAGGCTGAAGAAGAAAAGAACTAAAAACATATTAACTGGTGACTGGGGGTATAACTCGGTGGTGAAGTGCATGCCTAGCATACACAAGGATTAACATACATCAGGATTCAATTTTTAACCTCCAAGGAAAAAGAAATTAACTAATAGTTGTTTAACAAAAGAACAATTTTTAAAGCAGTATTACGTTCAGCAAAATTGAGCAGAAGATACAAAATTTCTTATTGATTAATTGATTTCACAGTTGATGAATAAATAGTGATATTTCATAACCACCCAAAGTTCAGGGGTTCATTCTTTGTATTTTACATTTTGTGTTTTGATAAATGTATAATGACATATATCCACTATTATGGTATCATTCAGAATAGTTTCACTACCCTAAAAATCCTCTATGCTGCACCTATTTGTCCTTCCCTTCCCCCTAACCCCTAGCAACCATGAGTCTTTTTATGACCTACATGGTTTTGCTTTTTTCAAAATAGCATATAGTTAGAATCAAATGGTATGTAACCTTTCCAGACTGCCTTCATTGACTTGATAATATGCATTTTAGGTTTCCTCTATGTCTTTTCATCCTTTGATAGTTCCTTTCATTTTAGCACTGAGTAACATTCCGATTGTCTGGATATACCACCATCTATCTATTTACTGAAGGGCATGTTGGTTTTTTCAAAGTTTTGGCAATTATGATTAAAACTGCTATAAAGATCCATGTTCAGGTTTTTGTGTAGATGAAAGTTTTTAGTTCTTTTGGGTAAATACCAACTAGTGTGATTGCTGGACTATGATAAGACTGTTTAGTTTTGTAAGAAACTGCTATTTGCACAGTGGCTGTACCATTTTGCATTTGCTATCTGCGGTAAATGTTAACATTTGGTGTTTTCAATGTTCTGAATTTTGGTCATTCTCATAGGTAGGTAGTAGTATCTTGTTTTAATTTGCATTTCTGTACATTTGATGTGGAGTATTTTTACATATGCTTATTAGCCACCTGTATATCTTCTTCGGAATGTTCAGGTTTTCTGTGCTTTTTTTTTTTTTTTTTTAGTTCTAGGGATTAAACCCAGGGCCATCTACGTGTTAAGCACAAGCTTCACCATTGAACTACATCCCCAGCCCTGGCCCATTTTTAAATTGGATTATTTTCTTATTGTTGAAGTTTAAGTAACTTTACCACTGAGGTACATCCCTGTCTTTTTTATTTTTTATCTTGAGACAGGGTCTCACTAAGTTGTTGAGGGTCTTACTATATTGCTGAGGCTGACTGGAACTTTCAGTTCTTCTGTCTCAGCCTCCCCAGTCTTAGGGAATACAGGCATGTGTCACTGTGCCTGGCTTTGAGTTAATCTTTTTGTGGGGCATATTGTCTGTGTCTATATTCATTGATTTTGCATGTGGATGTCTGTTATTGTTAAGATATGAGGTGTCCGCTAAAAGCTCGTATGTGAGACAATGCAACAATGTTCAGGTGTGAGTGATTATGAGAGTTTTTTTTTAAAACCTAATCAGTGGATTAATCCACTAATGGATTAACCAGGTGGTAACTGTAGGCAGGTAGACTGTAGGAAGTAGGTCATTGGGGGCTGACTTTGGGATTTATATTTTGTCTCTACTGCAGAGTTCTCTCTGTTTCCTGGTTGCCATGTCCTGAGCTGTTTTCCTCCGCTACATGCTTCTGCCATGATGTTCTGCTTTATCTTAGGCCCAGAGCTGTGGAGTAGGTCAACATGAACTGAAACCATGAACTAAAATAATTTTTTTCTCCTTTAAGTTATTCTTGTCAGATCTTTTGGTTATAGCTATCCAAAAGCTGACTAAAATAATGTCTAATGTTCCAATAACATTTGTTAAAAAGGCAATCTTTTCTCCATTGTATTACTTTTACTCCTTTGTTAAAGGTGAGTTGAGTATGTTCATATGGGTCTACTTCTGTGTTGTCTGTTTTTCTCCTTCAATATTATGTTGACTGTTCTGGGTATTTTGCCTCTTTATAAAAACTTTAAAATCTGTTGATATCCATAAAATAAATTGCTGGGATTTTGATTGGGACTAATAATTATTTTAAAACAATTACTCTATATATTATATAGAGGGGTATGCTGTGTATATGATGCAACCCGTATTCAGAAAACTGGGCCAGTTGCAAATTCAGATGAAACTTCCTTAGAAGTAGTACAGAAGTAGTTACTTTAATAATTAAATCCTTTCATTGAGTTTAAAGGCAAGTAATGAATGATTCTACTTTTGAAATTATACAAGTGTTAAGTTTTATTAGCTTGTCATTAAAATATTTAACTTAGTGGTAATTAATCTGTTCATGAAATTTGTGCATGCTCAAATCAGAATATAAATTCCAGTATTATAAATGTCTCCTCGGCAATGTTAAAAAATCTGAAGCATTTTCTTAGTATTAGCTAAGAGTATCTCACAGTTTGCCTGTCGCATACATACAAAGACATGTATAATAATTTAGCTATAGGTTAATAAATTGCTTATTTTTAATCTGTATCTACATGCACGATTTGACTTTTGTACACTTGTAAACTCATTTCCATTTCTCTATTTTTAGGCTCTTATAATAAATGGAGCAAATCTGACAGCTCAAGATGATTATGGATGCACTCCTTTACATCTTGCTGCAACTCATGGACATTCTTTCACTTTACAAATCATGCTCCGAAGTGGAGTGGTAAGGGACTCTGTTAATAAGATAGTGTATAACCTTAGGTGGAATAACATTACTAGTTTACTAGTCCATTTATCTCTTCCTAACTTTTAAAATCCCTTACTTTACTTTGTGGAGGTAATTTAACTATTTTTTTTAGCTTTTTCATCTGTAAACATGGGAGCAATAATTCAGACTAATCTCACAGTACTCCTCCCCCCACTTCCCAAATAACAGTTAAGTGTAGTACAAAGTATTTCAGCAGTTTTTCATGCCAGATTGGAGTTTCATTAGGAAGGTTCTAAAGCTTTTAAATGAAAGTTAACCAGGGAATTATAAGTCTTTATAATTTCTGAATGTTTCTATGTGTTTATTTCTTTCCTTTCCTCCCTCTTTCCCTTTCTCTGTCCTTCTTTTGAAACTCTTTCATACATAGATTTAGAAAGTGATTTATTTCTCCAGAAATTTTATTTATTGAAATATTTATTTTTAATATTACCCATTGATCATAAAAATAGCTATAAGAAAAGGACTACCTGTATCGAAGACATTATGGTAAGAGTTGGTGTTTTTGTAGTTAAAGAAAAAGTGTCTTGATATGATTTGATCATTTAAACCCATCTTTTTATTTTTTATTTTGTGAAAATATTTTATTTATTTTTGTTTAATTCCTTTAAAGTCCTATTGAATAAACTTGATAATCTATAGGTTGTGGAAAAGATATCTGAAACTCAAAGGATTAAGTTTTATTCAAAATAGCAAAGTATAAATAAGTAGAGCCAGATTCAGGACTCAAATACAGGTTGACCAACTCCAAATTTAGTTCTGAAATCAAAGTATAAATATGTTTAGTGGTAACAGTTTCAGGATGACATGTGGAGTCTCTGTCAGAAGGAAGCTATCTAAGTGGAAATGTCAGGAGTATAAATGAAATGAGTGGGTCCAGCTGCCCCACAACTCTATCAGAGTATTGTGTGAGGTTACCTATATCACAGAATAACAATGATTAAGAAGTTTTAAAATTTTGTATTTATTTATTATTCTTTCTAAGACATTATTATTATTATTATTATTATTTCATTCTTTTCATTTTATTGGTCAGGAATTTGTAGTTAAGTTCCTTTATAATAAACTATTATTTGACTTGTTATATTCTTTTAAAAAGGCTATTTTATAAAAACTTCATTAATATCTTATGAGCTCATGTGTTCAAATCAATGATTGCAGTAAATTTTTCTCTTATATTCAGTGCTGACCTGATAGTTTTATGAACAGCCTCCAGTTGTCATTTGCAGAATTAAGCTGCTAGGCTTAGTGTTTTTCCTACAAAATGGAAAGAAACTTGAGTCCTTGTGAATGTTTCCTGTAGGATCCTAATGTGACTGATAAGAGAGAATGGAGACCTGTACATTATGCAGCTTTCCATGGGCGGCTTGGCTGTTTGCAACTTCTTGTCAAATGGGGATGTGGCATAGAAACTGTGGACCACAATGGAAACCTTCCAGGTATTCTACAAAAGCAAATATTTTATTTTTGTTAATATACTCTTAAATGTTTGAGCATGTTTAAGAAATTTAAACTGTAATAATTTAAAATAGTAAATATGTTAATGTGAACATTTTTTAATTTGATGTCTCACCTGTTATGCACCCCTCATGTTACTGATTTTTTTGAACCATATTAGCAAAAGAGAAATTGGCAAAATTAAGCATGGATTCATTCTTCCCAGCAACTTTTTCTTTCATCTACTGTCTAGTGTTCTTATCTTTTAGTTTCATACCTCTCTGCCCCGTAGACAATCTTTTTTTAAAAATATTTTTAGTTGTTGATGGTCCTTTATTTTATTTACTATATGTGGTGCTGAGAATTGAACCCAGTGCTTCAAACATGCTTGGCAAGCGCTCTATCATTGAGCTACAACCCTAGCCTCTATAGGCAACCCTTTGACATTTTAAATGATATAGAGGACACAAGTGTACTTAAATTAACTTGCTAATGCAGTTGTATATATACAACTGCAATATACTGGCCAGTTTAGATCTAGGTTCTAAGCACACTATTTTCTTTAAGGAGTACTGTAGCAATTCAGAAAAGGGATAGATCACACTGATTTTTCAATGAAAATGATACATGAATTACATCCTAAAGAAATCTTAAGAAGCAAACACATGAAGGGGAAGGCTAGGCAGAATAATATAAATACGTCTGGTCAAATTACTTTGCTGTTTAGAACCTCTTGGTATCCCTGTAGAGCCTTGATTACTTTGTCATATTAGACCTTTATAAATTGGCTCGTATATATCTCCTGGCCTCATCTATGCCTTTACATTACTATCTGAAATCCTTTTTCTTCTTTCTAAAGAACATCTGTTTTTTTTTTTTGGCTGAGGGTAAGTTGCTGGTGATTAAGTTTGTGCACGGTAAGCATGTGCTCTACTACTGAGCTACACCCATGGCCACCAAAAGAACATCCTTTAGTGTTCATTTAGTATGAATGCACTCTTTTTGTGCATATCTGAAAGTGATTTTATTTTGTTCTTTCTTTTTATTTATGTTTCTTAAGAGAAAAACACTTTACTTTTTATTAATAAAGAATTTCATGTATTCATTTGCTCTTTGTTTCCACATTTTTATTGGTGCATTATAGTTGTACATATTGATGGAATTTGTTGTTACATATTCGCAGATGCACCCAATATAACAATATAATTTGGCCAGTGTCACTCTTGAGCACTTCCCTTCTTCTTTCCCACCTCTGACCCCTTGATGCCTTTCTTCTACTGATGTCTCTTTGATTTTTAGAACTACCCCACCTTTGTTTTCCCTTTTCTCTCTAGCTTCCGCATATGAGAGAAAACATTACAACCCTTAACCTTCTGAGTCTGACTTATTTTGATTAACATGATGGTCTCTAGTTCCAACCATTTTCCTGCAAATGCCATTTTTTTCCATTGCTGAGTAAAACTCCATATTGTATATATAACACATTTACTTTATCTATTCACCCATTGATGGACACCTAGGTTGGTTCCATAGTTTGGCAATTGTGAATTGTGCTGCTACATGCATGGCTATGCATGTATCATTGTAGTAAGATCCCTTTAATTCTTCAGGATAAATACCGAGAAGTGGTATAGCTGGGTCATATGGTGGTTTCATTCCTACTCTTTTGAGGAGCCTCCATACTGATTTTCATAGCTGTTGTACTAATTTATATGCTGTACTAATTTATGTCCCACCAAACGTGTAAAGATGTTCCTTTTTCTCCATATCCTCTCCAGCATTTCTTATTATTTATATTCTTGATGACTATTATTCTGACTGGTGTGAGATGTAATCTCAGTGTAGTTTTGATTTGCAGTTCCCTAATTGCTAATGATATTGAACATTTTCATGTATTTGTTGGCCATTTCTGTTTAGTTTATTTACCTATTTATTAATGGGGTTATTTGATATTTTTGGCATAAAGTTTTATGAGCTCTTGTATATTTTAGATATTAATCCTCTGTCAGAAGAGTAGCTAGCAAAGATTTTGTCCCATTCTGTGGGCTCTCTTTTCACATTCCTAATTGTTTTCTTTGCTGTACAGAAGCTTTTTAGTTTGATGCTCTTCCTTATATTAACTTTTGGCATTGTTTCTTCAGCTTTAGGGGTCCTATTGAGAAAGTCACTGCCTGTGCTTAAAAGCTGGAGTGTTGGACCCTACATTTTCTTCTAGGAGTTGCATAGTTTCTGGTCTAATTCAAAGGTCCTTGAAACATTTTGAGTTGATTTTTGTGCAGGGTGAAAGATACAGGTCTAGTTTCATACTTCTTCATATGATTAACCAGTTGTTTCAGCATCATTTGTTAAAAGGCCCTCTTTTTTTTTCAATGTGTGTCTTTGGCATCTTTGTCAAGGATCAGATGACTGCAGATGTGTGGATTTATCTTTGTCTCTTCTATTCTGTACTGTGCTCTACGTATCTATTTTTATGTTGCTACCACACAGTTTTTGTTACTATAGCCCTGCAATATAATATGAAGTCAGGAATTGTGATGCTTCCAGCATTACTTTTTTAGCTTAAAATTGCTTTGGCTATTCTGAGTTTTTATTCTTCCAAATGCATTATAGAACTGCTTTTTCTAGTTCTGTGAAGAATGTCATTGGTATTTTGATGAGGATTACATTGAATCTGTATATTGCTTTAGGTAGTATGGCCATTTGAACTACACTGTGTCTATCTATGAATGTGGGAGATCTTTCCATCTTCAGAGGTTTTCTTCAATTTCTTTCTTTTTTTTTTTTAAAGAGAGAGTGAGAGAGGGAGAGAGACAGAGAGAGAGAGAATTTTAATATTTATTTTTTAGTTATCGGCAGACACAACACCATTCTTTGTATGTGGTGCTGAGGATTGAACCTGGGCCGCATGCATGCCAGGCGATCGCGCTACCACTTGAGCCACATCCCCAGCCCCTCAATTTCTTTCTTAAATGTTCTATAGTTTTCATTGTAGAGGTCTTTTACCTCCTTGATTAGATTTTTTCCTAGGTATTTTATGGTATTTTTTTGAGGCTATTATGAATGAATTTGTTTTCCTGGTTTCCTTCTCAGCAGATTTGTTGTTGGTATATAGGAAAGCTATTTATTTTTGTATGTTGATTTTGCAACCTGCTACTTTGCCAAATTTGTTTATTAGCTCTAACAATCTTTTAGTAAAATTTTTTTGATCTTCTAGGTATAGGATCATATCATCTATAAACAGTGATAATTTGATTTCTACCTTTCTTATTTTTATCCCTTTTATTTCCTTCTCTTTTCTAATTGCTCTGGCTAGAATTTCTAGAATCACATTAGATAGAAGTGGTGAGAGTGTATAGTCTTGCCTTATCCCAGATTTTCAAGAATCTTTCAGTTTTTCCCTGCTTACCATGATTTTGGCTTTGGGTTTTTCACACATAGCCTTTATGATGTTGTGGTAGGTTCTTTTTCTCCCTAGTTTCTTCAGTGATTTTATCATGCATGGGTGCTAAATTTTGTTAAAGGCCTTTTCTTCATCTGTTGAGATTATTAAGTGATTTTGATCCTTAATTCTGTTAATGTAATGAATTACATTTGTTAATTTGCATATATTAAACCATTCTTGCATCTCTGGAATGTATCCAACTTGGTTGTGGTATGCAATCTTTTTAATATGTTATTGAACATGATTTGCTAATATTTTATTGAATATTTTTGCATCTAAGTTCATCAGGGATATTGATTTGTAGTTTTCTTTCTTTGATGTGTCCTTTTATGGTTTTGGTATGAGTGTAATACTGGCTTCATGGAATGGAACTGGATTTGTTCCATACCTTTCTATTTCATGGAATAATTTGAGAAGTATTGGTTTAGTTCTTTTTTAAAGGTTTGATAGAATTCAGCTGAGAATTTATCTAGTCCTGGGATTTTCTTTGTTGGAAGGATTTTTATTACTGCTTGTATCTCATTACAAGCTATTGGTCTGTTTAAGTTTTCTATGTTCTGTGGATTCAGTTTTGGCAGATCATATTTGTTTAGAAATATACCCATTTCTTCTAGGTTTTCCAATTTCCAAGTTTTCAGAATAGTCCCTAATGATCCACTGGATTTGAGATGTCTGTGATGATTTTTCCTTTTTTAGTTCTAATTTTATTAATTTGAGTTTTCTCCCTTTTTATTTTGGTTAGTTTGGCTAAGGGCTTATCAATCTTGTTTGTCTTTTCAGAGAACCCACTCTTTGTGTCATTAATCCTTTGTATTTTTTTTTCTCAAGTTCATTGATTTTTGACTCTGATAATTATTTCCTTCCATCTATTGGTTTTGGAATTGGTTTGTTATTTTTTTTTCAAGGGCCTTGAGATGCATTATTTGTTTATTTGGGATTTTTCTTATGTAGGCACTCATAGCTATAAACTTTCTCCTTAGACCTGCCTTCATAGTGTCCCAGAAGTTCTGATATGTTGTATCACTATTCTCATAATAATTTTTAAATTTATCACTTGATTTCTTTTATCACCCATTCATGTTCAAAAAAGTGTTGTTCAATCTCTATGTGTTTATATATTTTCTGTAGAGTTTTGTCATATTAATTTCTAATTTCATTTCATTATGATATAATAAGATGCAAGGAATTATATGAGGTATTTTTTTGTATTTGCTAAGAGTTGTTTTGTGGCCTGCATTATGATCTTTTTGAAGAAGAATTCATAAGCTACTGAGAAGAAAGTGTATTCAGCTGATGGTGGATGAAATATTCTATAGATGTCTGATAGATCAATTTGACTTATAATATTTTTCAGGTCTGAAGAGTCTTTACTAAGTTCCTGTCTGGATGACCTATCTAATGGTGAGATAGGTGTGTTGAAATTGCCCAGTATTATTGTACTGTGTCTATCTGGGCCTTCAGTTTGAATAGTGTCTCTTTTATGTAATCAAACCCATAAATATTTATTACTGTTATATCTTTTTGTTGGATTGGTGTCTTTACCAATATGAACTTTCTTGT